AAGTCCTATCGGTTCACAGTCTTGTAGATTAAAAGCATAAATGATTCTCAGCAACATCTGCTTGCTGTACGAGTGGTCGTTCAGGCTGAATTGGTTGTGATTGTGTGGCAAACGTAGCCCCAGCTGGTCTTTGTATCAACCACTATTTTGTCTTGTCCAGACTCGATTATTCTCAGACCTCAGTGATAATGTCATAACTGCGTTTTGGGGTTAACTAGACCATGCTACCGTTGCCTAACGTTTTGTCGTTGCGCGCCATCATGGTCAAGGTGAGCCATGACTCTACGACTCGCCTGGTCAGCCAAGGGTCATGTAAGTCACGGAGGGATTGCTCTGAACTGTCTGCTCAGCATTTATTCGCCAGCCCTTGCTCTCATTGAACAACACAACACTCAGGTTATTCTCACATCTTTTCAATAACGCTCGGTCTATATTCAAAATACAACTTCTAAACAAGACAGGCTCGACTCGTCACAGAGTGGAAAAAAACGGACTGATGGCTATGGACCTTAGTCAACTGCACAAAGCCGCACCAATTCGACCGATCGAGTCTTGACGTTTCTTTGTCACATGTAATAATACCTCAATTTGATTTTTAACAGTTATATCTGACCATGAACTAATGTGTGTCGTAATCGGTAAAAAATACTGGAGCCTACGTGACCAGTTGAGCATCTTTCTATTGATTTCTTTACTCATTCTGGATTCTTCAAATGAGATGTTGAGATGTTTTTGAAATGCATTTTAACCTTATAACGATATAGTAAAAGATCTGATTTTAATGAGATTGATCAAATGCCTTATGAAAATATGTTTCTCTGTGCCTCTCCCACCATATCCTCTCACAGGATGACTCAACTGAAAGCGGAGTGACACGTGGCTTGCAATTCCCAAGGAATATGTCAAGTGTAATAATGAATGCTTTACAATTAACACACCCCCGGTCGGAGGACTCCTCAGAAATGCGATGTGGTATTCATGAAGTCTAAAACCTTCAGTATGTCGACCATCAGTGTTGCGATATATTTTTCATCAAAAGGAATTTCCTTTTGTGCAGGCTGTGGGTGGAAGACAAAATACACCAGATAACGATTACCGTTATTTTAGTATCGCGTTACAAAAATATTTTCGATTGGCCGAGTGGTAAAAACACAAATGTTTCACCTGTTGAATTAAAGTTGATTAAAGATGAAGAGAAAATCAATATTCCGTAAATGACAAAGATGTTTCTTATCATTGTGCATTTCACTGAGGTTGCTATGTTATATGAAGTGAGTTCTATCACCCGCTTATGATAAATAATACATGGAAGATTCCCGGAGAACACCATCATTCATTCAGTACAGAAGTGTTTGTGTTCACGAACGGCAACAGGTTTAACCCGATTTTGATACTATTATTCAGGTAAATAATTACCTGTTATGAAAAACAGCACTGTAAGTGACGAACACAGGTTCCCACACTCTTATCAGCCCCATTTTATGCAGTGCAAACCATTTTGACATTCGTGTCATAACAGGAGTATCCGACTTATATCACTTATTAAGTCTTTTGAGTTGAAGTTATTCCACAGACTGAGGAATAGATGACTATCAAGTCAATCAGTCATAGTTGTCTCTCTTTTGCGTAGAAGGATCCGCTGGATCATGCATTGGAATTCCAGATTCGTGATGCTTGTGATCCTCAGTGCCATACTCGTGGGTTTCAAGAAAGTACAAGACGTGTAAAACCTGCATCACTTTGGGCTTTCTTATTACATTAAATCTGGCACGACTTGATATAACTGATATACTGTCAAAGCTGCGTTAAACCCAACTCACTCACTCTGCAGTTGGAGTCATTGGGAGGAGAAGACAAAGGGGGCCTCGGGGGCAAGATACAGTGGAATTATCAACTGAAATGTCAACATTAGAGTATCTAATCATCGACGCCCGTTAATACAACGTTAGTGCTTACCAAATGTATGACAAACGTATACGTTGTGTCAGTAGAGTATGCTAATACTATTGTGGACGCACAGGATATCCTATATCCTAGATATTGGTGACTGCGACTAAAACCGACATTCACTTACAAACGCAAGTGTATCCTCAGGGTTGTGGTACATATTAACATTTGTTTGTTACAAACATTTAACCTTATCGCTCTTGTTTGTAAACCTCCATTGTTGGTGTTAACGTAGTTTGCAGGCTTCTACGGATATGGCGGCTGCTTGTACTAGTCGGGGCTAATGCCGGTTTTATAGTTAGTTATAGCCAACTGAGATATCAAGCCGCAGTTTAACATCGATACTCCACTCAGACACAATTCACTGATCCGAACAGTCCTTGTGTATCCCCTTAATGCCGAGCGCCACGCAAAGTAACAACAACAACAAGCCAAGTGCTCCATCCGCTCTCCGCACATACACTCTAACCACTGAATCAGTCTAGCGAATCGTGAGCTTGCAATTTCAACAAGCGGTTCGTATGGTGTCGTGTTTCATCGAGGGAAAAATATTTCCCGAGGAATCTTGTACAGTGTAGAAAACAGCGAAAGCTCACTGTTTAAATTTAAATACCGAATTCGACGTAATAAGTGCCCAGGGCGCTCTCAAAATTAGAAGTAGGGGGCTCTTATTAGAATATTATTTTGGCTAAAAAAACAGAGTTGAAAGATAACTTTCGTGGTTTATGCTGACAGCCTGAAGTGTTTATGTACGACAGATATATTTTTCCAGAATTTAATGGCCCATAATCAAGGGTGCATATAACACATGAGTGCGTATTATACGCAAATAAATAAGTTATGTGCACATTGATCAATCGGAAGGGGTGCTAATTGGGATTGTTCACTAGCCAATATCTTTAGCAAATGTCGCCGTGGCCGCTTATTAGAGCGGGGCGCTTATTACGTCGAATACGGTATGCAGCTTTACATGTCACGTGTGGCCAGATGCAACCCAACGACTGGCTAATTGAAGATTGCTTTTCAGCGAGACGAGACACTTAAGGAGAATAGGGAGACGGAGTTGACAGATCACACCACCGTCAGAGCTGCATAGGTATCATGTGAGTATATCGTATATTTCCCATCACTTGCTTGGTTCGTTTACCAATTTAAATTTTCATTTCCACAGCTTACTTATCTAAGGAAGAGATTATTGGATGTCAACTTCTTTATTATGAGGAACCCAACGTTTCGGAGTATATGCTTACTCCTTCATTTTAATTGCCCAACGAAATTCTT